TCCTCCTCTCCTCTGCCTCCGCCTCCGCCTCCTCCTCATCCTCCTCCTTCTCCTCCTCCATCTCCTCCTCCTCCTCCATCTCCGCCTCGTCCTCGTCCTTCTCCCCCTCCTCCTCCGCCTCCTTCTCCTCCTCCTCCTCCGTCTCCATCTCCATCTCCATCTCCATCTCCATCTCCATCTCCATCTCCTCCTCCTCCTCCTCTCCCCTCCTCCTCCTCCACCTCCTCCTCCTCCCCCTCCGCCTCCGCCTTTTCCTCCGCCTCCACCTCCTCCTTCTCCTCCATCTCCTCCTCCTCCTCCATCTCCACCTTGTCCCCTTCCTTCCCCCCCTCCTCCTTCTCCTCCTCCTCCTCCTCCTCCATCTCCATCTCCATGTTGATCTCCTCCTCCTCTTCCTCTTTCTCATCCTCCTCCTTCATCCTCCTCTTCCTCCTCCTTCTCCTTCCTCCACATCCTCCTCCTCCGCCTCATCCTCTTTCTTTTCTTTTAGTACTATTCTTCTTCCTCTTTCTCCCCCCCCTCCTCGTCCTCTACGTTCTCACACTCCTCCTCCTCCTCCTCCTCCTCCTCCTCCTCCTCCTCCCTCCTCCTCCTCCTCCCTCCTCCCTCCTCCTCCTCCTCCTCCTCCTCCTCCTCCTCCTCCTCCTCCTCCTCTCCTCCTCCCCTCCTCCTCCTCCTCTCTTCCTCCTCCTCTCCTCCGCCTCCGCCTCCACCTCCGCCCCTTCCCCTTCTTCCTCCTCCTTCTTCTCCTCCATCTCCTCCTCATCGTCCTCTTTCGTCCCCCCCTCCTCTCCTCCTCTCCCTTCTCCCCCTCCTCCTCTTCCTCCTCCTCCTCCATCTTCATCTCCATCTCCTCCTCCTCCTCCTCCTCCTCCCTCCTCCTCCTCCTCCTCCTCCTCCTCCTCATCCTCCTCCACGTTCTGGTCCTCGTCGTCTTCTTCCTCTTTCCCCCCCTCCTCGTCCTATTCCTTCTCCCCCTCCTCCTCTTCGTCCTTCTTCTCCTCCTACTCTTCTTCCTCCTCCGCCTCTGCCTCCTCGTCCTCGTCCTCCTCATCCTCCTCCGCCTCGTCCTGCTCGTTCTCCTCCTCGCCCTCTGTCAATACTGTGTTCCTTTCTAGGTCAAGCAGGGGAACGCCTTGCGCAAAGCCCACGGCCTACCAACACCTTCCTCTCATCGCCCCAGCGTTCGGATAGACCATGCAGGGGACGAGGAGGAGGAGGAGGAGGAGAACGACGACGACGGAGCCGACCAAGAGGAGGAGGGGAAAGAGGGCGAGTAGCTTTAGTGACCCAGCGTTTCGAAAGCATTTCCAGGAAAAGGTCGGCTAGCGGTGCCCCGGTTGATGTCATGCGGCAAAATATGATGATGCTGCTGATGATGATGATGATGATGATGATGATGCTGATGATGCTGCTGATGCTGCTGATGCTGCCGATGCTGATGCTGATGCTGATGCTGATGCTGATGCTGATGCTGATGCTGATGCTGATGCTGGTGCTGATGCTGCTGATGCTGATGCTGGTGCTGATGCTGATGCTGCTGCTGCTGATGATGATGATGATGCTGATGCTGATGCTGATGCTGCTGCTGATGATGATGATGATGATGCTGATGATGATGATGATGATGATGAAGATGATGATGAGGATGAGGATGAGGATGAGGATGAGGATAGGATGAGGATGAGGATGAGGAGGAGGAGGAGGAGGAGGAGGAGAGGAGGAGGGGGAGGAGGAGGAGATGAGATGTTCGCAACGAAGGAGGATGTGGGGGGAGGGACAGAAGGGGGAGGACGCGAGGGGGCGAGGGAGGGAGTCAGCAGGAATGCGAGGGGTTGTCTAAGGCTTTTCGCAGTTGTCGGGTGCCTGGGCCTCTCCCCGGGCCCAGGACAGTCAAACACGACCTAGCATGAAGATCTGGCTCCACTGCTCCCTGGCCAGGCCCATTCTGAACCCAGGAGCTGTGTGCACGCCCCCTTGGCCAAGGCCCTCTTGGCCAGGCCAGGAGGGCGTGGCGTACACACCGCTGCCGGGTTCGGGCTGGGCCTGGCCAGGGAGAGCGGTGGCTACGCATAGACCTCGTCGCCCCATAGCAGGCACAAGGGGGGGGGGGGCATCTCGTGGCTGGGACTCCGAGCTCTCCCTGATGTCACGGCGCCCCTCTTCTCTTTCAGCACGTCCTTGGCCCCCCCCCCCGCTCGTCTCGTCCGCGCGCACGCCTCGGCCCGTGGTCCGCTGACGTTCCTCCTCTGGGCACTCCTCGGCGGCGCAGGCGGCGCGGGGGGGGGGGAGGGACGGCGGCCTCGGCGGCGGCAGCGGCGGCGACGGTCGAGGCGGTTGGACGCGGCTGTGGTGCTCTCCGCGGGCAGCGTCTCGCTGCATGATGTTACCAGCAACGTCCGCAGCCAGTTTGGCTCACGCCGGTTTGGCAAGTCTCAAGTCGGGCCTGTCCCATACAGGAGGGTTGTGGGCGAAAAATAGAAAATATACCCAAAACGTGCAAGAACAAAGAGTCCAAACATAGTCTGGGGATTATGTTTTGGGTATTTTGTGACTTTCTTGGGGTATGTTGGGTTTTTTATTTTTCGTCGAAAATCCCACTGTAGGGGGACACGCCCGACATAAGGCAAGTCTCCAGGCATGTGGAACACTGGGTATGTGCTTATCCCAAGTGGCTCCCAAGAGACCCCCAAGGGACACCAACAGCCCCCCCCCAGAGGCACCCACGACGTCCCAAGAGACCTTGGCGAACATGCCTAAAACGGTAATGTCGCAAGGTTTTGCCGAGCATTGGCATCCTGGGAGAAGGGGCTAATTCACTACGGCCCCTCCTTCGATCGATCTCCTTCAAGATGGCCCCAAGATGGACCCCGAGGCTCTCAAGAGTGCCCCAAGAGGTTCCTAAGTGGCGCCCAGGAAGCGCGGAGAGGCCCCCAAGATGTTTTCAAGAGTTACCTGATAGATTCCCAAGAGACCCCCAAGAGGCCCGAAGAGTTTCCCCCTGAAGCACCCAATACGCTTCAAGATGCATCCGGGACCGCCACGAGGATCCCAAGAGGCCACAAGAGGCCTACAATAAGCTTTGGAGAGACATCCGAAGAAACCCCGAGAGGCTTCCAAGAGGCCTCTAGTCTTTCTGCTCGCACTCCTCTTCCTCCTCCGCATCCTTCTCATAATCACGACCATCCTCACAAAACAACGACGACGACTACATCAACATCAACACCAACATCAACAGCAACAGCAGCACCAGCATCAGTATGAGCATCAGCATCATCATTAGCATCGTCCTCCTCCTTCTCCTCCCCCTCCTACTCCTCCTCCTCCCCCTCCTCCTCCTTCCCTTCCTCCCCCTCCTCTCTCTTTCCTCCTCCCCTCCTCCTCCCCCTCCCCTGGTTTCTCCTCCATCCTCTCTCGGGGTATGACGGCGACCCCAGCCCGTTGCGTGCTCCCCCACATGCCTGATCAGGGCAATTCGCCTCGGCATCATTTCTGGATGGGTTGGTGAGGATATGCGAAGCATCTAGAAAGTTGCCACTGCGCTCACGGGTAACCCTTGCAACTAGGTCGGCTGTTATCTGCAGCAACCGCACGGCCAGAACGTTTCAAGATATGTTCATGATATGAAGCCTTTGCGCCATGGCGGAACAGCATGCCATGGCATGTGATGCGAATCCCTAGCGCAAGTTGTGCGGGGAAATGGCCTTCCGCAGGTCTAGGACAAGCGATTGTATGTTGGACCCCCCAGGCACATGCTCAACCACCACTCGTATGTTCCTGTACCTTATGTAGCCGTCTTGGTGCTTGTATTGCACGGGGACCACTGATGTCTCGAATTCCCGAGGCGAGGTCCTCGGAGTCGCTCATGAGCTCGGTGGCCCAGGTGTTATATCTCTTGTGCTTTGTTGCGTTACCTTGCAATAGCGTCCCGCAGTTCTGAAGGCGGCGTGAACAATTTCAGGACGAGCCAACTCCTGCGCCCCTACAATACTCTCAGAGAGTCGTTGTTGTTGGGTCGGGCCCTCGGGATCGGAAATCTCGGAACCCCCATTCCGATACTGAGGGTCTTCGGGCTGTTTTGCGCCGCTCCGCGTGTAAGGGACCAGCGTGCCAACAGGTGCTACACGGAAATCTACCATCCCCCAGATGCCTCGGGGGTGGGGCCAGGGGCCATGGAAAATTTGGGAGGTCGAAGATGGGCGACATGTAGTTGTACCCGTCGGTCGTTCAAAGTAGGTGTTTCTGGATGCCCAAATCCCCATCTATTTTGGGCGCAGTAGGAGTCGAGCGGTCTTTTGTCGTCACTCCTCTTCAGGGGGCGGGCGGAAGCCCAATTGACTTCCAACGCATTCTTGCCTCATGTGTCTGTCCACTTCTTCCGACCGACGGGTATCCTCAGGAGTACAGTCAACCCGCATCATTAGCATGAGCGACTCCCCAAGGTCACCCTTGCATCCTTCCCCGTCGGCCCATCCTTGGCCGCTTTCGCTGGCCGCGCCCCGCTCGCAAAGTATCGACATGGCCTTCCCAGGCCCTTGCATCCTTCTCGTGCGTCCTCATCATGCGGGTTGACTGTACCTGCCGTCACGCGCTGCGGCAGGCAAGGGCAAACGACGGCGGCCACCTCAGGCGCCCCCCCCGCGACGCCGCCTGTGCCGCCGCCGCCCTGTCGGGTGGGCGCCGCGATTCGAAGGCCCAGGAGCTTTCTCGCCCCCCAGGCATGCTGTCTCCTTGGGTTGGAGCCGCAGAGATCCGATGTCGTGATTTCTTGTTCAACCCGCGGTCCCCGGCAGTCTCGACCCCTTCCTCAAGACCTGTTCTTCATCCCGAGTCGTTTTCTGACGGTCCCCTGGGACTGTATACGGTGGCTGACGTGCAGTGGCTGCACGTCAACATGCAAGTACTTGCAACTACTTGCGTTCAGTTAGCGCAACCCATAAGTTTCCGAAACCACTTGCTAAGTCTGCTAACTCTTACAACTGCCCAAGATCACCACAGTAGCGCGGCCTGGGCGTTGGCACTGTCAGGACGCGGCCGCAGGGGTTGAGACCTTCGTGGGCAGGGTCCAGGCGGCCCCGGGAGTGGGGCCCATGGGCGCTCTCGCCCCCGGGGACGCAGACCCGCGGGCGGTCCCGGGAGGCCATGGGGCAGTCCAACGAGAGGATGGGCGAGTTCGCCATGGGGGATCGGGGGTGGCAAAGAGCGGGGTGATGACTAGGGTAGCGGGGTGGATATCATGGCGTGGGCCATGATAGTTCCCCAGATTTCATGGCGCCTCTTCTTGCTTCCTTACGTCCCTGGTCCCCCCCCCCCCCTCGGGCCGCGCACGTGCCGCCTGCCACGATTTGTGCCCCCCCCCTCCACTTGGATGCCCCCCTCGTGGCCGCTCCCGAGGGGAAGAGCCCAGGCAGCACCGCGCCGCTTAACACAAAACTCCGGACGGGAGGCTTCTGGCCAAAAGCTCTCGGCCTCGGGGGGGGCCCTCGCCCGGCCTCTCGGGGCCGTGGGAGACAAAAGGAGTCGGGATGTGCAGACCCGGTCCCGGGGCAGGCGTCGGGACTTCCAGTCGGCACGAACGGAATGGGTACGGAGAGAATTGGTAATTACAGTGCCCAACAGCAGCTCTTGCTCCTCTTGAACAGGACTCGCTGTCCACGCCGCCGCGGTTCGCCGCCGCACGGGCAGGATCGAGGGATGTCCAGGTGTTCGCGGCGAGCGATGATCGGGTAATTATGGCCAGGGCCCCGGGTACGGTAGGTTCGCGTCGTGTCGACCGGCGGCGACCCCAGCGCGGGCGTTCAAGGTTGAACGCCGCCGGCGGCCCAGAATCGGTCGGTGTTGAACGATCGGACGTTGCGGCAGCGGCCGATCGTTCAAGGTTGAACGATCCAGCGCGGTGTCAAAAACCAACGCTGGGGTCGGCACGACACGAACCTGCCGTACGGAAAGAATGGGTAATTACAGTGCCCAACAGCAGCTCTTGCTCCTTTTGAACTGGACTCGCTGTCCACGCCGCCGCGGCCTGCGTCGATTCGAGGCAGGAGGCCGCCTGCCCAACGGCGGCCGCTGCTGGTTTGGGACGACATTTCGTTGTTGGGCATTGTGCCCATTTTTTCCGTACCCATGTCGGGCGTCCAAATCCAGGGGCCCCGCATTGGAAGAGTCAGGACGTCGCACGTCTGGGGAGCGTTTCCTCAGGGAAGCGGGTCCCGAGGTCTCTCTCCGTCTCTTCGAGCTCCCGGGGCCCCTTGCGGGCCCCCGGGGCTGTCAGAGGAGAACTCGGGAGGAGCAGGTGGCACCCGGGGGAAGGCCCCGGGGGGCCCAGGACCCGTCTCCCGCAGGACACGTTTGCGCCCCGTTGAGGGAGTCGCTTGGCATCGCTCGGACGTGTGCATTTTTTCTCGGCGAGAACCTTCGAGGAACACCCTGGACCATCGAGCAAAAAAAAGCACGCACGAAACCGAAACACGCACGGGAAATGGACGGCCGAGCGACGGCAAGGTCGAGCTCGGCGCGCTGGCGCCACGTCTGGCGTCCTATGCCTCCCTCCCATCCCTCTCTACTGCGCTGAGTGGTTGTCTCCGTCCGCGGACGCGTGCCACAGCCAGCCTGGAACGCCGAAAAAGACCATCGCGTCATGCGCAAATTGGCAAAGGGGGAGCTGCGCACTTACATCGGAGGAGGAGGGGGTGACGGGTGAGCAGGCTGGGGGACAGGGTGGGGGGAGCCTTCTCCCAGCCTTGCCCTCTCTCTATAGCGTTTTCCCGACGTTCCGGTGCTCGCCAGCTTCCCAGTGGTTCCAGCGTTTCCCAGCTTGAATTTCCCCGATTCTACCCCGGAAGACCCCGCCGCCCCCCTCCGGATCGACCGGACCAGACTCCCGGGGGAGGGGTTTGGGGAGAGAGAGAGAGAGAGAGAGAGAGAGAGACAGAGCCGCGCTTGGACGGCGCATGGGCAAGAAGACTGGTAGTTACGTGAAACACATGTGCATTGGGGGGGAGGGTCTGGGGAGGGGGAGGGGTTTGGGGAGGGGGAAGCATCTCGCACGCCGATGAACCCCCAGGGGCCCGTTCTCACGCGCTGACCTCCGCCTCCCACGATCCCCCAGGTGTCGATGCCGCTGTCCATGCGCCCCGACACGGGCCGATGCCCTGTCTGGCCTGCAGGGGCCAAGGGCCCAGTCCGCGATCCCAAATCGTCCGATCCGGGTCACATGCCGCGCCGACTGCGGCGCGCTCCGATGCGTTTTCGACCGGACCCGATCTCGCGATTCTTGCCCAGAGATCCACCGCATTGGAAAAACCACGACGGAGGTTTTTCGCTGTTTTCGGTCTCCAGGGGCCCTCGCCGGGCCCTGGGACCGTCAAAAAATGACTCAGGATGAAGAACCGGTCTTGGGGAAGGGGTTGGGGCTTCCGGTGGCCGCGGATTGCAAAATCACGACAGCGGATCTCTGGGTAGGACGGGGCCAGGACGCAGAGAAATCCCTTCGAGAGCGTTCCGGGACGCTCCGAGAGCGCTCCAGAACGCCCTGGGGAGGCCGTGGCGCCCGAGACATCTCCTGCAGAGCCGCGGGAGCTCTGAGATTTTCGCTTCATCCCCACCCGATGTCATCCTCGTGCAGGGTTCGTCTTCCTTCCCTCCAGCTCCTTGGCACCGCTCGGACGTGTGCATGTTTCTCGGCGAGGACCATCGGAAGGAGCAATTTTTTAAAGCGAAACATGCGCACACGAAATCGAAACATGCACGGGGAATGGACGTCCGAGCGATGGCGAGGCTTTGGCCTGCCTCCTTCAGCGGGGTCCCTGCGCCGTCGCCACCGCGCAGCTCTGCAGGAAGCAGAAAGCAGTACTGTAACAATTGAAACTGGAAGCTGGAACTGGTGCAGGGAGCAGCAACCTTAGTCCTCGCAGCCTGATGGCCCCGCAAGGGGGCCGGCGGATCCTCGTGCAGGGTTCGTCTTCCTTCCCTCCAGCTCTGGCCTGCCTCCTTAAGCGGGGTCCCTGCGCCGTCGCCACCGCGGCCGAAGCGCGCGCGCGCGCGCCCCCGCGCGCCCGCGCCCGCGAGTACGGTGCGGACGGCAAGCTGTGCGGCGAGGCCGCAGCGGCGGCCGCCGCACGGGCAGGATCGAGGGATGTCCTGGTGTTCGCGGCGAGCGATGATCGGGTATGGCCAGGGCCCCAGGTACGGTAGGTTCGCGTCGTGTCGACCGGCGCCGACCCCGCCGCCGACGTTCAACGTTGAACGCCGACGGCGGCCCAGAATCGGTCGGTGTTGAACGATCGGACGTTGCGGAGACGGCCGATCGTTCAAGGTTGAACGATCCAGCGCGGTGTCGGGAACCAACGCCGGGGTCGACACGACACGAACCTGCAGTCAGGGGACCCGGTTCGTGGTAGGGCCCCAGAGCCTTTGAAGTGGCCAGGATCACTAAACCAGGTTTGCCATAGCGGGTGCTTTTTCGGGTGACGGCAGTTCCGGTTCGTGGAAGTGGGACGGGGGGGGCGCCCGGTACAGATCACTAAACCAGGTTCCACTAAACCCAGTTCTGCCAACGCCCGAGATGAGGGGGGAAGGGAGAAGGAGAAGGCCTTCTCAGAAGGCGGCGGGGTTTCTCAGAGGCGCTCCGACATTCTGAGAATTTTCCTGCGTTTTCGGGGGAGGCTCAGAAGACTGCTCAGAAGGCCCAGAGACTCCCGAGCCTTCTGAGAAGGCCCGCCCTTTTGCATTTTCCCTCCTGGCTCGCCGCCGAAGGAGGTTCTCTGGGGCGTAGGGGAAGGGGGTGAGGATTACGACGCCGAGGATACCATGGCTTTTTCTTCCTCGTTCCATACATCCCCTTTGCCGTCGACTCGAGGGAGGTCCAGAAGGTTCTCGGGGGCGTCGGGAAAGGGGGTGAGGATTACGACGCCGTGGATACCATGGCCCCCTCTTCCTCGTTCAGTAGATCCCCTTGCCGTCGACTCCAAACATGGCGAGTAAGGGCTCCAACCCGCCCGAGCCGGCATTCAGGCCCCGCACCCCGGTGGCGCACCGGCGCGTTCCGCTCCGTTTTGTTTTATAGCACAAGATAGGGGTGGGTTTATAGTGTACGAGTCGGGAGCGCGATAGCTATCCGCGATGGCGCTGGTAAAGTATAGAAGGCAAGCGGGTGTGAGTTTGGCTGGGACGGCGCATGATGCCGCCATGAGGTCGCACACAACATAAAGAAACATGGAAACGGAGCAGTACAGCAGACATGGCATTGTGCGCACATATGAGGCGATTCGCACGATGCTGCTATAAGAAAGCCTCGAGCGGCCTATGAGATACCAGCTAGAAGGCCATGGAGTAGCAATGGAGTCGGCATGTGGCAGCACAGCCGCATTTCGCGACTCGGTAGTGTCGCTCTGACCTGGCTACAACATTGTTTCGGTCGGTACGTGAGCTAGTGATGCAGTAGCTGTGGATCAGCTTGTCTTGGGCAGCAGTGAACATGAGTACCGGGAAACGTCAAGACACCCGTGAAATTCGATGAAGACGAGCAGCAGCAGCAGCAGCGGCAGCAGATGCGGCGGTTGCAGCAGACGGGGAGGGCACTGCTCGTGTTGGGGCACGTCGCCCAAACTCCCTTCGTTCTCCTCGCCCTCCTCTCTCTGTCCCCGTCTTCCGACTCCCGCCCCCTTCCCACTCGCCTCCCCGTGGGGCTTCCCTCTATCCACTGAGACCGAGATCTGGTGAACGGCATCATATCCCAGGCACCGCCCAAAAACCATAGCCCCAAGCAGATCTCGCTTCGCCCCTGACCCCTCGCCCCTGACCCCTCACATCCGCCCCTCTGGAGCAGATCTCTCTCTTCGTCCCTGACCCCTCGCATTCGCCTGACATCTCCCGGCTCCTCTGGGACCCCCCCTGGAAGAGGAGGAGGAGGAGGAGGAGGAGGAGAAGGAGGAGGAGAAGGAGGAGGAGGAGGAGGATCCCCTCGAAGCTCGCCGAACTCCGGAGTCTCTCGCTTCGCGCTCCAGCCTGTTCCGTGGCCGTCGCCCCGGAGCGGGCGCCCCCCACCCTCGCCAGGTCCGCTACGAGAGCCCCGAGCATGCCCAGCAGGCGATCGCCGCGCTGCACGGCAGCATCCTCGGCGGTGAGCAGATCAAGGCCCGGACGGTAGGTCAGATGTGGCCCCGGGGCGATGGCCTGTGGCCTGATCCGGTTGGGCCGCCTCGCCACGTCCAGGGATGGGAGTCCCTATCATCATCATCGCCACCACCACCATCATGATCACCACCATCATCATCATCATCATCATCATCATCAGCAGCAGCAGCAGCAGCAGCAGCATCAGCAGCAGCAGCAGCAGCAGCATCATCAGCATCATCATCATCATCATCATCATCATCATCATCATCATCAGCATCAGCATCAGCATCATCCTCATCAGCATCAGCATCAGCATCAGCATCAGCATCAGCATCAGCATCAGCATCAGCAGCATCATCATCATTATCATCATCATCATCATCATCATCATCATCATCATCATCATCATCATCATCATCATCATCATCATCATCATCATCATCATCATCATCATCATCGGCCCGTGGCCAGATCCGCTCGGGCCGCCTCCCCGCCCCCAGGTATGGGAGCCCCCAAGCCAGGCGGCGAGGCATCAGGTGGTGATCTGGGATCCCCAAAAAAGCACCGCCGGGCTTTGGGACGCGGGGCCACCGCCGAGTCTTCGTGATGCCTGGACCCACCAGCGTTCGGGACATCCTCGAGAAACCACACGGGTCCCCAGGCCGGGTGGTGACGCCAAATCGTCCGAGAGTCGCCGCCGGGTGTGGTCGCCGCCACGCTTATAGGGGACTGCCAACTGCCAGGGGAGGCGGCCGAGAGAAGCGACCGCGCGGCAGGGCGCGCCGCGGAGCGCGCAAGGCGAAGGAGGGGGGCGCCCTGCCGGGGCGCTCGGCGCTGCGTGTCCGCAGCAGGGGTGGCCACGGGGGTGGACAGAACCCCCACCAGTGACACGTCGATTAGTGAATTGTCCTTTTTCGGTTCTCGAGAGGGCGCCGCGGCCGTCATTTTCCAGGCTTGCGCCCGCCAGGTTTGGGCCCGAGGTCGTTTTCACTAAACCACGTTTACCAAAGGGAGGTCTGTCCATCCCCGAAGGAGGCGGGAGGGGAGGGGTCGGGGGAGGACCTCCCAAGGCTCCCTCTCGCCGCGAGGCCTCGCCCCGGAGGCGATCCGAGGCGGCCCGAGCTTCACACGGAGCTGCCGTGCACCTCGGCGCCGCCGAGCCGAGCCGACTCGGGCCCCGTGGCGATGCGGCCCCGTGCGAGGCACGCTCAGATCCGATCCGACTTCCCGATGCGAGGCCGACCGATCCCGCCCCGCGCGGGCCGACGGGGGGACCCCACCCCGCGCGGCGCCCGCCCTCCGCCGGCCGCACAGGTCCTGAAGCACGGGATGAACAACCCCCTGGGGACCAAGCTGCTCACCCGGAGCGCTGCCGCCGCGCCGCCGGCCCCCCCCCCGCTCGGCGACTGCGGAGGGTAGGCGCACGGGTGCGCTGGGCCGTGGTCGGCGACCGGCGCCGCTGGGGCGTCGGGCCTCCTCGGGGCGCGGCGGAGGGCTCTACCGAGAGGTCCCCGCCCGCCCCCCAGGGTGCCCCCCCAGGGTGCCGGCCGCAAGCCACACCCTTCTCGCAAACCACACCCTTCGGAGTCGCCGACGGGATGGCCTTGGCCAGGCACGGCGGCGGTGTGTAGGTGCCTTCTGCGGAGGCCAGGCCTAGGAAGAGGATGCATCGCTCTGAAGCGTGAGCGTTCCAGAACGCTCTCAGAGCTTCATGCAGCGCCATGGATCGGCCGCGGCGCCCGATGCATCCTCTGGACCCGCTGTCACTCAGAGGTCTGTCTTATTGTTCCTTGGGTTCGTCCTGCGGATCGTCCTAAAATGTTGGTTTCGTCCTCATTTGGGCTTCGTCTTATCGTCCCGCGGGTTGTCCCGTGTGTTGTCCTGTTGGTTGTTTTGTGAGTTGTCCCGTCCGTGCTCGAGCCACGACCAGTGGGTCCGAGGCCCTCTCGAGGAGAGGTGCCGAATTCGGCATCTCTCCTCGAGAGGTCGTCGATGTGATGGTTGCTTTGGGGAGGGGGTTATGAAAACAACTCCCCCCGTTGTGGCTGGCTGAGGGGAGAGAGAGAGAGAGAGAGAAACAACAACAAACAACCACACACTATACAATTTATCTATACGCGTACATGCGTATGTATGCATGCACGTGTATACACATATATACACACATGTAGGCATACATGTAGAAATATGCGGAGGGAGAAAACAGGGTTTACGAACATAACAACAAACTGACAAGTCGGCGATCGCCGAGGCGCGAGGGGCTAGCACATGGGCAGGGAGCGGCGATGGACGAGAGGACGGTGGCGGTCATCCTCGCCCACTCCATGCCCCTCCCTCCCTCCCTCCTTTTCTGGTTCCGAAGATGGCCTTCTTTTGAGCTGAGGCACACCCCCTGTCGTGGTCCCTCGAGCGGGATGGAACCCCCTCCCGGATGACGAGCGGTTCCCTTCCGACGGGTGTGCGCCCAGCGATTTTCTGAGGCCAGGGACCTGTGACTTCTCCCTCTCCTCCCCTTTGGGCGTCCCATCCCTGCATCCTGCCGGCCTCCCACCCCCCATCATCGTCGGAAACAACCCAGCCCCGACTGAGACAGGGCAAGATGGCTATCCCAGTGAGCGTGCCCCCTCTGAGCCGGGGCTCGTGCGGCGAAGCCCACAGGAGACAGCACCTGCCCCCACCCGACAGGGAGGAGGGGGGGGTGGTCGGTCGGCTGGCGGGGCCAAGGTTTCCCTTGGTAAGGGCGTCGATGGTTTTGCTCGACTGGCACGCCCGCCTGCCTCCCGCATCCTTCCCTTCTCGCCCCTGGCTCCGGAAAGAGGAACGGCAGAGGAGGATCGGGAGAGGCGCGAGGAGGCAGGAGGGCAGGAGGACGCGGAGAAGGACGGGAGATGGAGGATGGGAGGGATGAGGAGCAGCAGCGGGAGGGAAGCAGCAGGGACCCAGCCCCAGAGCCCCGGGGGCCCCGCTGTGCGACGGGGGTGGGGGCCCACTCGGGTGCCCTTGGGCCAGGGGAGGAGGAGGAGGAGGAGGAGGAGGAGGAGGAGGAGGAGGAGGAGGAGGAGGAGGAGGAGGAGGAGGAGGAGGAGGAGGAGAGAGTAGAGGGGGAGGAGGAGGAGCAGCAGCAGCAGGAGGAGGCGGCGGCATCCAGCCCGGTGTCCCCAGCTGGGGGCGTGCGGCTGCGGCGTCAGCCCTGCCACCACCTGGCGCGAGCTGAAGGCCCAGCGACCCCCCTGCTCGCCCGCCCCCTCGTCTGCCCCCCCCCCCCCCCGCCGACGGTTCGACTTTGTATGGTTGCCCGTCGGTCGTTGAACGTGGGTATTCCTGGACTTTCTGGGCCCAATCTACTTTAGGCGCCTTCCTGCTATGATGATCGAGTGGTTTCCCCTCTTCCTTCCTTTTCAGGGGGCGGGCGGAAGCCCAATCTACTTCCAACGCCTTCCTACTTCATGGTTCTACCCGCTTCTTCCGACCGACGGGCACTGCTTGCAGATGGCGGTTTGCGCCGCCCTGCCTGCCTGCTTGTTTGTTGGGGTGCAGGAGGGTCGGCCTCCAAACAAATCCCAGGCCTCGTGAGCAGAAGTCCCCGCTGGTAGGGGCTCGACGTCCACGGGATGGGAGAGCGGATGGCAGTGACCTAGGCAGGGTTCAGTCGGGCACGTCCCTCTACAGAAGGAATATTCAGAAATAGTCCAAATTTTAGTCAGGGGACGATTTTCGATTATTTGTTTACTCTGTTTTCATATGTGTTGACTATTTTTATGGTTTCGCCCAAGATCCGCCTCCAGGGGGACGTGCCCGACCGAAACCTAGGTCCACACCGAGGTGCGAAGTCGGTCGCGCGTCGCGCCTCGCGGCCTGGGCGACTTCGGAGCGAGGCGCGAGGCCCTCCTCCTGTTCTTGGGGGTGGAGTCCCCGTTGGAGGGGCGCTGATCCTCCTGCCCCTCCTCCTCCTCCTCCTCCTCCTCCTCCTCCCTCCTCCTCCTCCTCCTCCTCCTCCTCCTCCTCCTCCTCCTCCTCCTCCTCCTCCTCCTCCTCCTCCTCCCCCCCTCCTCCCCCTCCGAAAGCGCGAAGAGCATCGCGAGAATCGCGCTTTGCGGCGCGCGGCGCGCGAAGATGGCTGCCCTAGGTGGTGGGCGGGGGCGTCTGGTCGCAGCAGGCAGGCTTCTCGCTCAGACCCCTTTTTCAGCCCAGAGCTCTGCCCTGATGACAGCCATGTGCTCCGAGCTCCGATTCCCCCCTCTGCGCGCCCGCCTCCTCCCCCCCCCCGTCTTCAGCTTTCGCCGCTGCCCCCCTCGCCCCCCCCCCATCCCCCCTCTTCTCCCCCCCCGCCACCTCTCCCCATGCTCCTCCCTTTTTCTTGTTTTCCCTCCGTCAGGGCGCGCTGGCAATGTGCCAGCACAGCGGGCCAGAGGCCTGCCAGGAATTCCAGTACGTAAGAAGTTCAGAGCCTGGGCGTTCACTGGTTCCCGCGGGCGTGGCGGCCATTGGGGGGCGCCCCAGACGAAAAGCACCCTGGCGAGGTCGCGGGACATCCTTGGGAGATCCCCGGAGAAACGTGGCCCAAGCATCCTTTGTTGTTGGGTCCTCGCTTTGGATTAGCAGCGCCCCCCCATCACTCTCTCCCGTTGCCTCCTCCTCCTCCTCCTCCTCCTCCTCCTCCTCCCTCCTCGCATCGTTTCTCTCTGCCCTCCGCATGTCATCACCATAATCGGCATCATCATCATCATCATCATCATCATCATCATCATCATCATCATCATCATCAGCATCATCATCATCATCAGCATCATCATCCTCATCATCATCATCATCATAACCAGAGTCATCATCATCAGCAGCATCATCATTTTCATCCTCCTCCTCGTCATCCTCATCATCAGCATCATCATCCTCCTCCTCCTCATCATCAGCATCATCATCACCATCACCATCATCACCATCACCATCACCATCACCATCATCATCATCATCATCATCATCATCAGCAGCAGCATCATCATCATCGTCATCATCATCATCATCATCCTCATCCTTATCCTCATCCTCATCATCATCGTCGCCCCTAGGCCGCCACCTCCATTTCGGCGCACCCGTTACACGCTTCGTGGCCCCTTATGGAGCCCCACCGAAGTCCCAAGTAGCGGCGCCCGCATGGCGCACCCGCCTCCAATTCGGCACACCGCTCACTCGCGTCCTGGCCCCATCGGGAGCCTCACCGAAGGCCTCAGTCGCAGCGCCCGCCTGGCGCACATCACACGCTTCGTGGCCCCACATGGAGCTCCACCGAAGGCCCAAGTGGTAGCGCCCGCATGGCGCACCCGCCACCAGCTCGGCGCGCCCCTCACACGACTCGTGGCCCCATAGGGAGCTCCACCGGCGGCTCCAGTGGCAGCGCCCACATGGCGCACCCGCCACCAGTTCGACACAGCCCTTTGGAGGCTCCACCGAGGGCTCCAGTGGCGGCGCCCGCGTGCCGCACCCGCCCCGAATTCGGCACACCCCTCACATTCTTTCGTGGCCTCGCCCTAAGGCCCCAGTGGCAGCGCCCGCATGGCGCACCCGCCTCCAACTCGGCACACCACTCACACGCTTCATTTCCCAGCCTGGAACATATCCCTATCCCTATGCTGGGCACCTCCTCATCACGATGCCAATCTTAGGGATTCCCTTATTTTTTGAGGGCGGATCCCTAAGATTGTCATCGCCTTTTGGCGTGTCGATCTTGGGGATAGGGATACGTTCGAGGCTAGTAATTCATGGCGCCATAGTGAGCTCCACCGAAGGCCCCAGTGGCAGCGCCCGCGCGGCGCGCCCGCCTCCACTTCGGAGCCACCATCACACGCTTCGTGGCCCGATGGCGAGCTCCACCGAAGGCCCCAGTGGGTGCGTCCACATGCGGCCCCCGCCCAATTCGGCCACGCTTCGTAGCCCCATAGGGAGCTCCCCATCGTTCGCCCCGTCTGCTTTGCGGCACTCGCAGTTGCATCTGGCCGGGCCCTTCCCCAGAATGTTGTTGTTCCTGGGCGCGGCCCTCTGTGCCTTCACCACAGTCCAAGGATCGTCTCAAGGGTCCTCAAAGAACAGCCCAGGAGAGCGGATGAAGGGTAGCACGCCCCAAGACAGCCCAAAGAAATTGTGAGATAGCCCTGAGGTGGCCAAGATGGTCCAAGACAGTTGCCACGACGCCTCAAGGAGGAAAGTCCACTCAAAAGCCGAATGGCGTTCCATGATGTTGGCTTTCTCGTCGTGTCGTGTTATATTGTGTTCAGGGGAATCAAGATTGCTGCAAGAGTGCCCAAGATGGCTCCACGTCTGGCCTTGAGGGTCCCGAAGGCCACCTAGAGCGCCCCTGTAGAGGCCCAGTGCAGCTCCAAGAGGGCCCAAAGAGGCCCAATGGCAGTCCAAGAGCGGGCATCAAGGCGTGGCAGGCCCCAAGATAACCCCTGACCAGCTCCAAGGTGTCCCCAAGACAGCCACAACATGCCCCCAGGACAGCCCAAAGAGGTCCCAAGCTTGGCCCGAGTTGGTCTGAGATGATCCGAGACAGCCGCCCAGAGGCCCCCACGAGGCAACATCAGTCAGACACCAATGGTTGGATGATGGCGTTGGCTATCTCGCCTCGTCGCGTCCTATGGGATTCCGAGGCCTCAAGATGGCTGCAGGACTGCCCTTGATTGGTCCAAGTTGGGCCGCGAAATGTTTCAAGAGGGCTCCGAAGACGCCCAAGAGCGCCCCAGGCAGAGGCCCAAGGCAGCTCCAAGAGGGCCCGAAGAGGGCCTCAGGGCGGCCCAAGAGCGGGCATCAAGGCGTGGCAGTCACGATGGCCCCTAAGAGGCCCACACGTTCCCCCAAGACAGCCCCAAGAGGCCCCGACGTAGCCCCGAGGCCGCATAACATTGTCCAAGACATCCCCAATGACGCCTTTGTGTCAGTGATTTTAGCTTTCTAGCCTTGCCGCTTCTCATGAATTCCAGAGCGCCCCACGTGGGGCCCAAGAGGGGACGCTACTGCCACCCAGCAACCTCTCAGCCCCCACTAGCATGCATGCAAATTCCCGCAGTGATGCAATGTGGGCGACATAATGAATAATGCAATCATCCAGAGGCTCCAAAACATGTTGATTCTTAGGCTTACGCCACACCGCCGACCCCTTGTTTATGCCAATCGGGGGGCAGTAGAAGCTGCGAAGGGGTGAAAAGGCGAGTGATAGTTGTTTGGTGTCTGTTCGCCGCCACTGCCAGAGGGTCTCGGGCAGTTCCGCGGGGGTGTCCGAGCGGACGGCGACACCGCGGGCGGTCGTGGTCTCATCTGGGGCCATCTGAGAGGCATAATGGAGCCAGGTTGGGCTCGGGAATGTCTTCGAGCCGTTTCGGTAGCGGTCGGGAGTTTTTTTGGGGGACTGTCCAGGAGTCATTATGGGTCAACTTGGCCATGTGCGAGGCCACGGCGCGTGCAAAGGGTGTGCCGGCATGGGGTATACTTGCATGCGAATCTTCCCACTGGGCCCCACGGTGGACGTATTCTGGAGCCACGACACGATCGACGTGTGTGTGCGCTTGGGGTTGGAAGTTTACGGGACCGCGGGTACTGGGGCTATGGTTGGAGCGCGCCGTGGAGCCACGAAATCTATGAGGGACGTGCCCAATGTTCGCGGGGAACCGCGCGTATACTCGGGTTTTGGGGCCTTTCATTCAAGTTGCCGCGTGCGGGGTGTGCCAAATTGGAGGCATGTTCACTAGATGGAAGCGCCACGGCACCTCGATTTCTGCGGGGTCGGCGGATGCTGGACGTAAGTTGTGGATTTCGAAACTGGGGCTGATCCGTTATTGGGCAGGCTGGGGTATTCGGAGGAGTGGGAGGAGGAGGATGAGGAGGAGGAGGAGGACGAGTGACGCTGCGAGCGTAAGAGCGGGGCGAAGGGACGGAGCGGAGCAGGAGAAGGAGGAAGAGGAGGAAGGGGAGGAGAAGGGGGGACGAGGAGGAGGCGGAGGAATAGGAAATGACATTGAGCTTCTCATTCCTCTCTGGGATTGGCCGCCTGCGTGTGCGGTTCGAGCGTCTTGGAGCGTCGGAAAGCCGGAAAGGCGGAGAAGCAAAAAAAAAAAACGTCGAAAAACACTGTGGAAAATCAGCAATTTTAGACTCTTTGGGCCCTCTTGGGAGGCTTGTTTGGGACCTCGGGGGCCGTCTTGGAGACCTCTTGGCCCGTCTTGG